GTTCAATCCAACCAACATCCAAGTTAGTTTTTCTAGCCAACTTAGAATAAAGTGTTTGGTTATTCCGTCCAAACGTCCTGCAGCCTGGATCCTTATCCTGGGCTTAGGAGGGGTGTTGGTTTAGGTTGTAAACTTCGTATTCTGACCGAGCTGACTCCTCCAAATGGGCTCCAAGTCTTACCTTTCAAAATCGAGATATTCAGGAAACTGACTCGGTTGTTGCTGAGAAGGATCACTTGATGGCTTTCAATCTAGCCAAGAGTGTTTGTCTTCCAAAAGACATGGAGCACCACAACAAACAACTAAACATCGAGCTGAAGGCCATCCGGTCATCAACAAAATCAATGATCTTGGTAAGTGGCTCTCCCTTTTCTTTGTCTAACTTTTCCCAACAGTCAGTTCGGCTAAAGAGAGTCACTACTCTTTTGCAGGCCATTCAGAAGAACAACATTGCACATAAGAAAGTGCTGGAGCTCCGCAAGACAACCAGGCATGCCATGGCAGATGCCGAGGCAAAGACAGCCGAGCTTGAGCAAGCCAAGAAGCAGATAGCCAAGCTACAGTCCGAGAACAGTCGCTTGACCGGACTTGTTAGCTCGGCTGAAGCAGAAAAACAAAAAAATGCAGCAACAGTGAAAGACAAATACTTGCGCGAGTTGGCCAAACTTGAAGGCAAAAAAGACGCCAAAATAGCCGATCTGAAAAAGAAGGTCGGTGATGCCAATGCCAAAGGTTTCAAAGAGGTGGAGGGCCTCTACATTCCACAGTGTGAGGGGGCAAAGGACTTATTCTTTAAGTGTGGCTGGAGGAGTGCTGTGGAGCAGCTCGGCTGTGGGCCGAAACTGAGGTCTACAATACTCCGCAGTACTTTATTCCGGCCTCGCTAGCGGAATATGTTGCTTCTGTCCAAGAACAATTTTTGCAGGATTCAGATGATGAAGATGAAGAAAACGAACAAACTGTTACTCCGGTAGTCAACGAGCAAGTCAACGATCAATCAGCTCGGTTGGAGGCAACAGTTGAAGGCCTGACTGCTGAGCCATCGACTGATATCGTTCTGCCAGTTGCTACTAAGACTGATCTTCCATCTGCCACCGGTGTTCAAGTTGATATTGACGCCGACCTTGAAGACCTTTTCACTTGATTCTGTACTTTTCTTTTCTTTGTTACTTTTTGTTCTTGTAACCGGGCTATGGCCCCCCCTTTGTAATTACTTTTTGATGAATGAAAAAATTCCTTTTTGTTTTAAACTCTTATTTCGGTTTATCTTTATGTTTGTACTTGCAATGACTTTTCCATGCCCTTTTACTTCCAACTGTTATCTCGGTTTAAATTCCATCTTTTCACTTCCAACTGTTATCTTGGTTTGAATTTTTGTTTGAGCTTGCCTTCTGAACAGTATTGTGGCCGAGATACTTTAATCTGGTCTCAGCTGTGTAGTCTAACTGAGCATTCTAGCCAACCACTCTTTAGCCGATGTATTTATTTCGGCTAAAGAGTACCAAGAGTTTGGTTTAATCCAGCCAACCACTCTTCAGCTTTACCCTTACTTCGGCTGAAGAGTAACAAGAGTTGGTTTAATCCAGCCAACCACTCTTCAGCCATACCCATACTTTGGCTGAAGAGTAGCAAGAATTGGTTTAATCCAACCAACCACTTTTCAGCCATACCCTTACTTCGGCTGAAGAGTAACAAGAGTTGGTTTAATCCAGCCAACCACTCTTCAGCCATACCCTTACTTTTGGCTGAAGAGTAACAAGAGTTGGTTTAATCCATCCAACCTCTAAGTTAGTTTTTCCAGCTAACTTAGAATGAAGTGTTTGGTTATTCCGACCAAACGTCCTGCAGCCTGGATCCTTATCTTGGGCTTAGGAGGGGTGTTGGTTTGATCCAGCCAACGTCTAAGTTAGTTTTTCCAGCCAACTTAGAATAGAATGTTTGGTTATTCCGACCAAACGTCCTGCAGCCTGGATCCTTATCCTGAGCTTAGGAAGGGTGTTGGTTTAATCCAGCCAACCTCTAAGTTAGTTTTTTCGGCCAACTTAGAATAAAATGTTTATTCCGACCAAACGTCCTGCAGCCTGGATCCTTATCCTGAGCTTAGGAAGGGTGTTGGTTTAATCCAGCCAACCTCTAAGTTAGTTTTTTCGGCCAACTTAGAATAAAATGTTTATTCCGACCAAACGTCCTGCAGCCTGGATCCTTATCCTGAGCTTAGGAAGGGTGTTGGTTTAATCCAGCCAACCTCTAAGTTAGTTTTTTCGGCCAACTTAGAATAAAATGTTTATTCCGACCAAACGTCCTGCAGCCTGGATCCTTATCCTGAGCTTAGGAAGGGTGTTGGTTTAATCCAGCCAACCTCTAAGTTAGTTTTTTCGGCCAACTTAGAATAAAATGTTTATTCCGACCAAACGTCCTGCAGCCTGGATCCTTATCCTGAGCTTAGGAAGGGTGTTGGTTTAATCCAGCCAACCTATCTCCTGGTATCAAGGTGTTTCCCATCACTTTGCGCAGTACCCAATCTCCGATCTTGAATTGTCTTGGATGCACTGTTTTGTTGTATTTCCTGGATAACTCTTGTTGGTATGAGGCAATGTGAACCAGTGCTCTTTCTCTTCTTCCTTCCGCAAGGTCGAGCTCCAATGCTATGGCTTCTCCATTCAAGTCTGGATCAAAATTTTTGCTTCGAATTGTGGGGAGGCCAACTTCCAGTGGGATTACTGCTTCCATTCCGTAGGCTAAGGAGAATGGTGTTTCTCCTGTTGATCGTTGAGGTGCGGTGCGGTAAGCCCATAAAACGTGAGGAAGTTCTTCCGCCCACTTGCCTTTTGCCTTCTCTAACCTTTTCTTCAGTCCATCCAAGACAACCTTGTTTGAAGCTTCTGCTTGGCCATTTGCTTGAGGATATGCTGGTGTAGAATTGTAGAATTCTATCTTGTATTCTTCATAAAAGCTTCTAAAGATTTTTCCATCAAACTGGGTGCCGTTGTCTGAGATTAGGGCTTTTGGTATGCCAAACCGAGTGATGATATTCCGCCAAACGAACTTCTTCACATCTTTTTCTTTGATTGATGCCAATGCTTCTGCTTCCACCCACTTTGTGAAGTAGTCTGTTGCTACGAGAAAGAACTTTCTGCCACCGGGTGCTGTTGGAAGTGGTCCTACTATGTCTAAGCCCCACATTGCGAAAGGCCATGGGCTAGTCAATGGTAGGAGTTCTCTAGCTGGTTGATGTATTTGGTGTGCGAATTTTTGGCATTTCTCGCACTTCTTCACATATTTCTCTAAGTCTGCCTGCATGTATGGCCACCAGTATCCTTGTGAAATGGCCCTATGGAACAATGTTTATTATTTAAAATTTTATTTATTGATGGGCAAGTCAATTAAATGTTTTTAATTTTTTACAAATAAAAAAATTTGAAAATTTTGTTTAAGAAATTAAAAAAAATACCCAAATCGTAAAGAACAATATAAGACGCCCTATTCTATATAAAAAAACTCATAACTGTATTATCAATTTACATATTTCAAAAAAAAATAATAATAACAATATAAAAAATACACAAATATCTACCCAAAAAATAAAAATAAAACTTCTAATTAATTCCCAAAACAAAGCTACTTAAACATATATATTTATATATATTATCAATTTAGTTGGAAAAAAAATACATTGGAAAAAAAAGTTGTACAGAGAAAAAAAAAACACTCAGACGAAAATAGAAATTTACAAAAAAAAAAAATCACAAACAAACAAACTTGAAATAAGTTTGGACAATTGACAAAGAGAGACTAACCTTTGCATCATTACATTTGGAGAGGAGTTGGTCGGGCTAAAAAAAATAATCAAATATTAGGTATTCTAAAGAGAGAATTGTATTAAATTTTTAATTTGATTGAGTTTTTAAGTTTTAAGATTTATATTATTTTCAGAAAAAGGTGAGGATGGCTTACCATATTATTTTGAATTTTGAAATTCAAAATCATAGATAATTAGTCCCTTTATTATTTTTTTTATTTGAATTGTTTTGATCAATATTATTTCTGAAAAGAGTGAAGGTGTATTATCATATTGCTTTGAATTTTAAAATTCAAAATCATAGATAATTAGAGGTTTTTTGTTTTTTTGTTTTTGGTTTTTTGATTTAAGGAATTAGCCAATAGATTTTTTTTTATTTCTTTAAAAATTAAGAAATTAACTAAATTAGTTTGGGAGTTTGGAAATCCCACAATCAATGTCCGTAGAGTAATGTTAGAAATCTCAAAAATTGTTAGAAATCCCAAAAATTCAACTAAAAGTTCTATCAAATGTCTCATATGGGTGTGGGACCCACACCCATGTGAGACATTTGGTAAAAATTTTAGAGTCTCTAGTATTTTTGCCTTCAAGTAATGTTAGAAATTTCAAAAATTCTACCAAAAGTTCTATTAAATGTCTTACATGGGTGTGAGACCCACACAATGTGGGTCCCATGTGGGTCCCACGCTCATATGAGAGATTTGGTAAATTTTTTGAGATCTCTAGTAATTTTTATTTCAAGTAATGTTAGAAATCTCAAAAATTCTACCAAAAGTTCTACCAAATGTCTTACACCCACACAATGTGGGTCCTATGTGAGTTCCACATTCATGTGAGACATTTGGTAGAATTTTTGAGATTTATAGGGTCTCTAGTATCGTCCCACACTCATGTGAGATGTTTGGTAAAATTATTGCTAAATTTTTAAAAATCTCTAATACTTTTGTTTTGGAGTCTCTATACTCGAATGGTTAAATTTCTTATATAGTGGTGTTTTGAAAAGTTGATAAAAAATTAATTTTTTGACTTTTATAATTTATTTTATTTTTTTATAAATAAAAATTGTGAAAAATAATATAACCCAAAATAAATAAAAAATTAAAAGCTTTTTATTTGATTGGGAAAACACCCCATAATATATAGATTATAATCTTGGCATCCATCCTCACAAAAACAATATAACCAATCTTCATTACTAACCATGGAAGTTAGTTTGCCATACGTATCTCTCTCTCTTTTCTTTCTTATTATTGCTTTCAAGTTCTTATCAAAAGCAAGAACGCAGAAGAATCTCCCTCCAAGCCCACCGGCTCTTCCGGTCATCGGTCACCTCCACCTCCTGAAACCACGTCTCCACCGAACTCTCCACGGACTCTCCCAAAACCTCGGGCCGATCTTCACCCTCCGGTTCGGTTCACGCCTCGTGGTGGTGGTGTCATCGCCGTCCGCAGTGGAGGAATGCTTCACCAAGAACGACGTCGTCTTAGCCAACCGCCCTCGTTTCACCGCGGGCAAGTACTTCGGCTACAATTACACCAGCATCGGCGCGTCCAATTACGGCGACCACTGGCGCAACCTCCGCCGCCTGATGGCGCTGGAAATCTTGTCCACCAGCCGCCTCAACAGCTTCTTATCGATTAGGCGAGACGAAATCAAGCATTTACTCCGCAGATTGTATCGAAACTCGTCTCGTGATTTCGCCAGAGTCGAATTGAAATCCAAGTTTTCTGAACTGACTTTTAACATCATCATGAGAATGATCGCCGGAAAGAGGTATTATGGAGACGACGACGAGGAGTTGTCGAACAACGAGGAGGCGAAGGAGTTCCGGGAGATCATGAGGCAGGCATTCGAGTATAGCGGTGCATCGTACCCAGGGGATTTCTTACCGGTTTTAAAGTGGATTGATTATCAGAGTTTTGAGAAGAATTTGGGGAGACTTCACAAGAAAATGGACGCTTTCCTGCAAGGTCTGATCGATGAGCACAGGCGTGACAAGAGTAAGAACACCATGATCGATCATTTGCTTTCCTTGCAAGAGTCACAGCCAGATTATTATACAGATGATATCATCAAAGGACTAATCGAGGTTTGTGGACTCTCCCTCTCTCTCTCTCTCCCTCTTGCCCATCATACAACACAACTTTTATGCTGCAATTCTGCAAATTAAAATCTATATCACATGATTTTTCATAATAAAAAATTTGTGTTCATAAATTTATTCATTTTCATTTTCATTTTTATTTTCTTTTTGTTCCAATGAACCTTCCTCCAAATCTTTATTCAAACACTACCGGACAAAAGAAAACGCTATCTCCGCAAGGTGGCAACATAAATGTTGCATCAGCGACATAACCAACTTCTGATTAAATTAAGAAGAAAGCATTCATGACAAACTGAAATATTTTTTTAATTTATATAGCAATTAATATTCATAAATAATTTTAAAAAAAGGATATATGTTAGGGGATGGCTTTCATTGATTTTTTATTTTTTCATTTTTTAAAGTAGATTCGCATGCATGTAGAGCTCATTGTATTAAAAATAATATATATCCTGTATACAGCCATGACCTGGCGAAAGTGGCTCAAGTGCGAGTAGGGGTCTGTCTTCCCTTCATATGTAGTGAATTTGGGCTGAAGGAAGCCTGATGGTAGGGGCGCGTTTTCAATCGCCGGAACGAACGGCGAAGTGTGCAGCCTTGCTAATGCTTTGTCTGCTGGTTCGTAGGCAAGGCGCGGTATTGGCATTCCAACCTCGACGCTTCCATGCGTCCGAGGAGCCAACCGCTGTAAAGCAGAAACTCTGTGTGGATCTCGTGCCCTGGCATCCTCCTTGCATCGTGCCTTTTCTTCGAGCACGGTTCGTTAGTCGGATGATCTGGGTAACTCCGTCTGTCTAGATCTGGTTTGGTGCGTATGTGAGGGCCAATACGTGCTTCCTTCAGTGTATGATCTTTCAAATGTCGTCCTCTCAGACCTGGAGTGACGAGTTCTGGAAGACCTGGATTGAGTATCGCATGTCCTGAGGCTTTTGCTCTCTCCTTGCGAGGGTGTGGTATTCCTACTACGATTTTCTGAGTGGCGAGGAGGCGTCTTGTTTTTGCGCCCCTCTCCTGTCGCCACTTCTTTTTTCTTCATCTGGCGCTTCAAGGCCTCCATGTCCGCCGCCGTCTTCCTTATTAATTCATCTTGCTCCTTCATGCGGTCTTCCAGAGCTTGAGGATCAATCCTCCGCCTTTGCCTGTCAGGACTTTGCGAACGAGAGTGACGGGGGCTGTTAGTCCGCCTCCCCCTAGTATCCCTTCTGGTGTTATGTCGTTGGGGCTCCAAATCTGCTATGGGAGGGATATAAGGTAGTCCTTCATGCCTTGCGCCCCCATCTGGAGTTTGCCCGTCGATGGCGGACTGTGGCAATTCTTCAATGTGTGCCATTGTTCCAAGAGGTAAAGCTTGATCAAAAGGTTTTGCCCTGTCTGATATTCCCACAGACGGCGCCAATTGTACGGGAAAGAAATAAACCTTCTCGTATAATCCTGTTGATCAAGTCTGCGCTCCTCTGTACGTCGTCGCTTTATCACCTGAAAACACAAACGTGAGCTAGCCGGCGGGTGTGTGCCGGAAACTCTCCGATGCCTAAGTCAGTAAGCTTAACAAATAGACAAAAGTTCTGTGTATTCAGAAAGCAAAGTTGTGTGTTCAGAAAGCAAAGTTGTGTGTTACCTCTCCAAAGGTGATGTTTGTGAGCTTTTATAGGTTTCGTGTGGCATAATCCTAGTAGGACTTCTACTCCTCCATGCAGAGTCCTCCTAGGATTCATACTCCTGAAAGATAATGTTTATCCTTCAATATCCCCCTCACTACTTAAACCAAGTGAGATGGTTTTTACCATGGCCGAACTCCAACATGACCGAAGTAATCATGGCTATGCTGAGCTGCAGAGTAGGCCGAACTATCCTTAGTTCGGTTCTTCCTTTCGCTACACCTTATCTCGGTTCTCTCACATACGATCCATGGTGTGTTTTAGACCGAGCTACCGAGTAGCAAGGTTCTGATCGTTCTAACCACAATACGCCATGACCGGACTAACTCTGAGACCGGCCTAACTCCAAGTCGCTTCCGGACCAGAGTAACATTACATTTATCTCAGGCCGGAGTAATTTTGTACCTTTCTTAGGCCGGAGTAACTTTACAGCCTTTTTACTCAGCCCTTCGTATTGTGGGCCATAATGACCATCTCCAGCTCGACCCAATTTTTACAAAAATTACCCTCTCATTTGCGTATGGAAAGGAGAGACAGAAACTATATTACATCGTCGGCAAGAGCAATTGTGAGTTAACAAACTGATAGATTTACTTCTGTTGATTGCAAAAAAAAAAAATTACTATCGTTTTCAATTTTTTGTTTATATTTACAAAAATTTAAAAAGTTCAAATAAAAACTTGTTTGGTAAAATTTTTAATTTATAAATCAGTGGTTTCAGTTTATAAATTTAGCCAAAAAATGTAAACTCAAAAAATGTGTTTCCGTTTTCAGTTTCAGCTTTTTTTTTTTTACCACCCAACACTAGCCACCACCCGCCACCATTTTCCACCACCGTCTTCCGCCTTTCTTAAGTGTTTCTGGTGAGATTCAACCGTGTTCTTGCCGGAGTGTTGCCGCAATTAAGCTGGTACAATTTTTACCCACCACTGAGGTAATTGTGTACCCATGATACCAGCGAAGTAGCCCATCAAATAAAGCCCATTAAATAACTTCATTAGGATAAGACATTCATCAATACAAAGGAGATACAACAATGATTCATCTACACAAATTTTCTCTCTCTAATCTGACTATTATCGATAAGAGTCTTGTCTTTTACCAGTAAAAGTCTCATTCGGGAGATTCAAAAGAAAAAATTATGTGAATAAATCATTAATTAGAGGAGATATTCTTTGAAAGACAAGTCTGTCTTAGCTATGCCCCCGTCAAAAACACTTTATGTGAATTAATTTTATATTCACACATTTATTAAATCAAACTAATAATAATGGGTTATGTCTGTGTTTACAAAGTCCTACCTTTCAAGGCTCAAATCCACAGTTTGACTGAGACGGTGACCTTGACCGTCGACCCTTTAGGACCGGAATTCAAAGGGATTTTCATGCCGTTCAATTCAAACTTTAGAAAGTATTTTGAGAACTACTTGTTTTAGTTATTTTAACATTTTATGTAAAGATAAGTAAAAAAATAAAAAGAATAATTAATTTTTAAATATTGATTTTTTAATTTTTTTAATTAATTTAGATGGTTCTCAGTTAGCCTTCTCTCTCTCTCAAACACACTACCACCACCACCCACTAGCTTCCACCCAACACCCGCCACCGTCACCCACCCACCCATCACCACCACCCGTCATCCGCCATCCACCTACCACCACCACCCACCAACCACCACCACCACCACCACCACCCACTCGCTGCCACTCACCACCCACCACCACCCGCTACACACCACCCACCGTCACCATTTTTCACCACTGTCTTCCGCCGCCACTTGCCACCACTTGCCATTTCTCACTATTTTTTATATTTTTAAACATTTTGTTAATTACCAAACGCGTTTGTAGTTTATGTTTTCCTAAAAATAAACAAAAATTAATTTATAAAATTTTTATAAATATAAACTAAAAACGTAAACGTTACCAAACAGACCCTAAAGGATTTTTGTTTTTATTTTATTTTCCCTTTTTATAGAATTTGTTATAATTTTTGTTTTTTTACCAAAATAATTTATAATAATAATCAGTGTTTGATTTCAGTTTTTTGAAAATTGAATTTTTTATTTTTGTATTTTTTATTTTGACAGAATATTTGTTAAATTTTAAGTAATTTTTTACCTTTTTTAGATATATCTTAGTTAGATGTATCTAAATAGTAAATTATTTTTGAAAAAATATTTTAAAAAGTTAATAAATACCCAAAAATACGAAAAATGTACTAAAATTTCGTTTTTTTTTTTTTTTTTGTATTTGTAATATTTAGCGAATTTTTAAAAAAAAATTCACAAATATTATACTTTCTAAGTGCGGTGTTTGGGAACTTGGGTTTTGGATTTTTTTTTTGTGTATTTTTTCACTACAAGGCAAATGTTTTACAAAACCAAAAAAAATAAATTTAAACAAAATATCACATCAAACCCCATAATCATTTCACTTTTTTTCTCATAAACATCACATTCAATAAAAAAAAAACCCAACTATCTTCTCAAACACAAAAAAAAATTTCTCCAATAATATCCTGGAAAATGCATGAGACCCCCAGTGGGGGGTGCTGGGGGTCTCTCCTGATTGGCCAGAAAACTGTTTTTTTTTTTTTTTTTTTTTTTTTTTTTTTCTTTTCTTCTCCATTGGCAGCCCCCCACATGGAGGTGGGGGTGCTGGGGGTCTTGGCCAGCTGGGAGTCTCCAGCAAGACCCTAATATCCTACAACTAAAAAAACTTACAAAAAAAATTCACTTCCCAAACACCCACTATGTTAGGTGTGCCTAAAAATTAAAAAAAAAAAATTGTTTTAAATATTAAAAAAATTCAATAAAAACAAAAAAAATACAAAAAAAAAAAAGAAAAAAAGAAAAAGTAGAATTTAAAAAAAAATAAATTCTGAAAACTGAAAACAAACTGAGTGAATAATTTTATTTGTTTTTCTATAATAATGAACTTAGTAGTAATAATAATTTTTTATGTACTTGTATCACATGTGCGATAGATATTATTATATTTTAATAAATTTTATTATTTTAAAATTTTCATTCACCAAATTTTAATTTTTATATTTAAGATTTAATCCAGAATAACATGTTGAATGGTAAATTATCTCTCTTTCTCTCTCTCTCTCTATATATATATATATCAGAGTTTGAAGTTAGTAGCTCATCCACAGTACTACCGCCACCACTCGAACTCCGAGATTGTCAAAGGATCTCCAAAACTCTTAAATGGATTTGTAGGTAACTTTTTTTTTTGCTAGACCGTTTGCTTTGATTTTTGTTAATAGTTTTATGGAGTGAAAATTACTGAAAAAAGTTTTAAAAACTTAATTATTCTAAACTGAGAAATGGATGTTTTTAAATTATTTCCATAGATGGTTAATTTGCGACTTAAAATAAACTACAATAAACAGGCCTAGTGAGTTAACACCTTGAATTTGGAATATGTCACTTTTGAAGATATTCTCAAGTACTAAAAATTTGACATCATAAGATCGCCCACATTTATATATATGCCATACAAATATATACATATATATCATTTGAAAAGCTATAAAAATAAAAAATAAAAAATAAAAATTAATCGAAATGGAAACAAAAGCAGATGGCTTAGAGGTTGCCAGTAGATCAATATCGGAAGTCCATGTGCAGAGAAATACATGGGTCAATTGGGTGACAATCATAGTCTGTAATATGAAAATACAATTTATCAACATAATTAAATGAGCTCTGCTAGGTAGCCCGAATGGCTCGAGGTGTCAAAACGACGTCATTTTGGTACCTCTTTTTTATTTATTTTTTCCTGGTCTTTGTTCCTTCCTTCTCTTCTTCGTTCCCGCTACTGGGAAATTAGAGAAAGAGGAAGAAAAAGAACAGATTCATCATGATTACAATTCTCAAAATTATATTCAACAGCAGTTTAACAAAATCTAAATCTAAATCTAAAATCAAAACCAAACTCACAGTTTAACAAAATCAAAATCAAATCTAAAATCAAAACCAAATCAAAAACCATACCCACAGATTGTTTTTTTAATATTTTTTTTTCTATTGGATCTATGAAACAGAGGCAAAGAAGAGAGAGGAAGAGGAAGAGGAAGAGAAAGAGAGAGAAGAGAGATGAAGTTCTATTGTGGTCCCAATTTCTCTTCAGATCTTGAAGTTCTTTTGAGCTTCTTCTCTTTTGTACTCATGTATGTATGAGTACAGTTGAATGAAACAGAGGAGAGGAGGGAAAACAGGAGAGGAGAGGAGAGGAAACATAGATAGAGATAGAGAGGAGAGAAGAGGAGGAAACTGATAGAGGTGCATTCGGACCATTCGAGCTCATATATTTCGAGCTACGACTCATTTCTGTAATTAAATAACATCATACCAACATGGAAAGCCAGCGCAGTATCACAGAAATACATACATACATTGATATATTATTATAAGCTATAAAAGGTCAATTTCCACACACAAAATAAATAAATAAATAAATAATAAAGAAAGAACAAGAAGAAGAAAGGAAAGGCTTCCAACCCCAATGGCCATTAGCTTCCACAGAGACATAATTCCAACAATGATTCAAAAAAGCAATTACTTGGTCAACTAAAATGTTTAACTTCGATCTAGTAAACATTATTCCAACAATGATTCAAATAAGCTAGTCTGTACATGTTACTGATGATTCAAAACTAACATGACTACTATCATTTGACCATTTCTATTTTCTAACAAACACTTGTGTAAATAGAGAACTACAAGAAGAATTAAAACAAAAGAAAAAAGAATGATTGTTGCGAAGCAACCCAGAGGCACAACAACTGCAAAATTACCTAAAGCCCGACGCGATTATAAACTGCTACATCCTCTGACAAAGTTTACGCCGTTGAACTTTCCCATAAATGTGCAAGAAGAACAAACCTATAATACATCTATGATTCCTTCATATCTCAGGTTCATAAATCTGCATCTTTCGTGCCAGCATCGTGCATACCTGTTGGTTGATCAAAGATGTCTCCAATTAATGACTAGCAAGATCTCCAGCTACAAAATCAGAACCATGCTCCTCATAAAAGCATATAACTGAGTTGTGAGATAAAATTGAGCACGCATGGGCTGATCTGTCCAGCAAGCAATCCAATATTTACCAACTCGAATAGTCATCTCAACCGTGACAATCTCTTCCGCTTCCGATTCCTTTTATGCGCAACAGCATTGCTCTTTGCGCTGGATGTCAAAGCCAGAGTTGAAGAAGTCTTGCCAATGCCAACAGATGTTCTACCTTTCTTAGCAACCCATTTCAGTGGCAGATTATTCACTACACTTCCAATGTCATTCGTACTGTTCAGTTCAACAAGTTTCTGAATTTGGTCGAGCATCTGGTGCGTCCATGCTATTGACAAATCCAGTCCAACTGAATCATCAATTGGGTTTTTCCACAGATTCATTAAAATTTCCTTAAATGACTGATACGACATGGAACCTTGATAGCCTTGACGATTTTCGCAGATCATATTAACCTTCATAACATGCTTGCAGAGGTTTCCCTGCATTGACCAAGAACAATCACAAAAAGAAAATTCTGATCCGGGATTCCACACTAGACGTGTCAAGCTGCTGTCTTTTTGGCTCACAACCTTGGCAAATAGACGGTCTTTATCATCCAAGATAACAGCAGAATCGGGAATTTGAAGTGCTCGGTGCCATGAGGTGGAAGCTATATATTCCTCCTTGACATTTTGAAAGGAATCACTTTCATCGGCATAACGGTCAAGCCAATAGCTTGAGTGTAACTCAGTTGTCAGCTTGTGCACTAACCAATCTACTCTCTGAAGTGCACCAAGATGTGAATCATCGTAGAGTTTGACTTTCAGCTTCACATGGTATGCTTCTATGGCACCCGATGCCTCCTGGCTTGCCAGAGGAAGGGTTCTCATTGTCGTAAGCCACATTTCTGTATTTAACCCCCCCCCCCCAAAACCCCCCCCCAAAAAAAAAATGAATAATAACAATGTCAGATTATTAACTTTTAAAAAACAAATTAAGGGTAGAGACAGATAGAGATCATCTAACCAAACTTGGGCACCCAAGAGGCCTTGAAATATTGCACAAAGGAAGTTTGATCGACAAAATCTTGGGTTAATTCTTCTAACGCAACCGTGGAATCCACTCCGTCCCAAATGCTATATACTATTTTTCCAAGCCGTTTAAAAATCTCTCGTTGAACTTCAATGTTACTACATCTTTTGACAACATTCCGCAGCCATGATCTACGAACACGCCACAGGGAAAATAGGATAGGACAGGCAAATGTATCCCTGGAAGAATAGTTGCTATGTAAATGAAGTGCATTGGCATTGTAGATAAATTTAAATAGAAAATATTGAGTAAGATCACCGTGCCTTATGGGATCAATCTCTGTTGCTGCATCATCAATTAAAAACCCATTGATCTTCCAACCAAGGTCAACGGCACGAACACGATCGAGTAAAGCTTTCATCCATTTTGACACATCAGGCTTAGCAATGCTGCGAGTAATGATCCACGCAACAGGGAGTGCATGTTGTCTTGAATCAAACACAAGAAGAGTGCACAAAGGGTACTGCCATTCAGAGAGATCATGACATAAGAATCCCATATGGTAATTCTTGTAAAGCTTATATGCATAAGGGTATTATCACTAAATTCATTACCTTAATTCTCTTTATTCCAAAAGTTGAATCAGCTGCCATGAGACTGCGATGACCAAAACGGATCATTTGTTGCAATTGCCATTCAGTTTGAATCCCAAGAACAAAAGGATTTGTTTCTGTAGCATCCTGATAAAAGAAAATAGATTTCTTATTGCGTTCAACCCACATTCGAATGCTAGCTTGATCATCTAGATCCAATTCATGCGTAGAACGCTTAATGATCATCCCAAGTTTGTGGACATATTGGGAAGCAAGGCTATTTACTTTTGCATTTGAACCACAGTAGCGCTCTATCCCCTCAATGTGCTTCTCCAACACATTTTCCTCAGGAATTCCAAGATATATCATAGACATAGTTTGCTGTTGAATCTCATTGCATATGTACGGAATTTTCTTGGCACCAGGGCCAATCGCATCTCTGTCAAGTGGCCCATGACACACAAAACCAGACTTGTTTACGTGGCACCTATCATTATATATAATAAGCGCAAGTGACGGACGAGCATACAAACGCTTCACTACAAAATGGCACGTACATCCTCTCATGGATTGAGGTCTAGCAGCGCGGTTTCGGGTGTTGAGTCGATATCTTCGGCTTGGTAATATGCCTCCACCTTCTCCATAATTTTCAGGACCAAAAGAACACCAATACCTTCACAAAGAAGAAATGGAAAGAAAATGAATGACATGAAAATGATTGAAACAGAACTAGCGCACATTAAAAGAAATATTTTGTATTCGTTATCAACAGAAAAAGACCTCAGTGTCCACCAGGATCTATTTGTCAACTAAACCAGACATTTGCACGGGCAGACCACCTCCAATTGTTTGGTGTTAAGTATTATAATTTGGTTTAGCCACTAATCCCAAATTCGGTAGTATCTTCAGTGAAACCCAGTCTAAAAGTTTTCTGAATTCATGTCATATTACATATATAAGTGATGTCAAGTTGATATTGGTCACAGGTTTGAAACATTTAAGAATATAATTGAAATGGAAAACATTACGACACAGCATCAAGTTTCCTTATAAATGTCATCACAGTTTCCAAGCAAAGATAGAAGGCATCCTTGCCTATGATATCAATATTAGTTTTATTATTATTATTATTATTTTAAATGGCAAGGCAACAACAACTTGAGCTCCATAGCATCAAGGTTGAGAGACAAAATGGCTACCAATACCACCTTCCTACAAGGCCAGTGGTATCTACCTTGGTGCCTGTCATAAATATATTGTCAACTGTTAATGGCATGGGAATATAACATCGTCACATTTTTAGAAAGGAGCAATATGGATACAAGTTATATGCAAACAAACTGGAGAACTTACATCCTATACTCCAAATATTCATCACTCTTGTACTCATTTAAGCTACCTCTGGATCGTTTTCTTCCCCTCTCAATATGGAACCGTGTCGGGCATTCTACATTAGAGCACTCTCCAATTATGAAGGCATCAACCCTTGCATAAGGAATAACGGCTACATCATCATGACGTTCAGGGGTTCCAAACTTGGACCAATTCAAGGCAGCAGAAGAGAACTCCTCCCCTGGTGGGTCTTGCACAGGAATATTGAGGATGGATTCAATTATATCCATATCCTACAATATCACTACCTGTTAACTGGTATAATTGTTAAGCCAATTTGACATTCATTGCCAGTAACTGCCAAAAATAAGTCACACAACAATTAATGAACAAGAAGCATCCAGAGGGGGCAAAATAATAACATAATAATCATTATCGTGAATTACTAGCTACATAGACAAGGAGGACACATGGCAAAGATATAACATAACACAACACAAAATGCTGACAAGACAACTTTGAAGAAATTAGGACATGGACATGGCAATGTAACCACAAATATTTTTATATGTAAAGATATATTATCCTCCTTGGCAAGTATATAATATCATAGATAATTTTGATAAATTCTTGCATGTCTGAATTAAGAATTGCATCATGTGAACGATGTAACTAGACAAAATCATATACATAACTACATTTTTTTTGCATTTCTCTTTCCTCTAGCCTTGCATTCTTTACAACAGTAAAAAGGGTTATGTTCAATGCTAGATCAATCATAGCGCATATATATACCACATAGCGTTTCTTTCTTCTTCGTCTCTCTTAATTTCTAAAAACTAAAAAGTAAAGGTTGGATGCTACAGATGGTCATCTGATTTCTAAGAGTGCCGGAGACTGCTACTTCTAAGTTTCCACCAAGGGTCCTTAAAATATATTTCCAAACTATGCACACACCTAGGAAGTTTTGATGTGTCTGTGAGTATCCAAGAAGTGTCAGTTTCCCACATGTGTTTGACATGGACAATGCTCATCCATTTTAAGTGTTTGTCCTACCTAGGTCACAATACTTACATAGATACATATCACAATCATCAAAGCGAAAAACAATTTATGGAGTGAGGAGCAGAGCATATACCAATTACTCAAACAAAGAAGTACAATAATGGGGGGGGGGAGGCACTGATCTCAATCATTTTTATTGAGCAATCAAGCATGTCCTCACTCAATCATTTTTATTGAGCAATCAAGCATGTCTCTATATATCGTTGGCTATTGACACATAGATTAACATCAGCAGCATGCTTAAAAATTAAAATACCTACGCGCCTAATCAAGCGTGTCCTCACACAAGCTTGAATTATTGAGCAATCAAGTTCAGAACATGGGATGCTTATCTAGGAAAATGAGCTCAAACTGTTCACACATAACTAGTTCTAATTGGTATCATTTTCAATTGTCGATGTTTTCAGATTAGGTTTTTTTATAAAATTTTTAAAACTAATTTTCATGTCAATTTTTTAGGAGAGAATGCAGTTTTCAGAAAATACACCAAACACACCACGAGTTTCCATTTGGCTTTGCTACCAAGGTTCTTAAATTGTTCATAAATTTTGTGGTTTGTACCAAAGACAGTTTTCATAAAACTAACTGCTAGGTACATTAGAGAGAAAATATATATATCAAGACAAAAGAACTCAACACTTCACAGTGAGTAAATTAAAGCTACAATTTCTATCTTCTCCATTGTTCCCAAAGCTTTAGAGCTCTAGATAGTCATATATTATAAATTATCTTCACGGCTAATTTATATTCAATTGAATACTTTTCTCAGAACTAGGAAGCACAGATACGGATAGGGGATATGGACACGTCACAGATACTGCGATACGGCAAAATTTGAAAAACTAGGATATTTCAGAAAAAAATATTATTTTTATAATTTTTAGTAATGTAATAGGTATAAAAATAAAACCTAAAGCAAAAGAACATTAAATTTCAGCAATTCCAGCAATTCAATTAAATTAAATTTCAGCAATTCAATTTCAGAAATTTCAGCAATTCCAGCAATTCAATTAAAATTCAGCAATTCAATTAAATTTTAGCAATTCAAAAAACATACCTCACAAGGCTCCTTGATGTTGTATTGAGGAAATAAAAAGTGGGTACTAGTACAGTGAGAAGACACCAAAAAAAAAGGAAAAAAAGAGAGGGACTGAGATCAAAGGGGTTAGTCGTACAGTGAGTGAGAACGAGCAAAAAAAACAAAAGTGTGTGTGTGTGTGTGTGTGAGAGAGAGAGAGAGAAAGTGAGATTGAGCGAGAGAGGACTGAGATCGAGTGACAGAGGCTAGACAGAGACGACGAGAGAGCGAGAGCGAGAGAGAATAAGAGTGCGAGTGAGAGTGAGAGTGAGAACGAGAGCGAGAGAGGACGACGACGACGGAGGCTAGACAGAGGCTCCTCCTCCTCCTTGCTGCTGTTCGCGATAGACACAGGCTAGGGTTTGTTTGGCTTGCTTTTTTTTTTTTGGTGATAATTTTTGTTATTTTACGCTTTGACCTCATCATAAGTTTTTAAAATTATTTTTTCGCCCCGTCGTATCTCGAAATTATTCCAAGCGTATCTTTGAAATATCCTTGCGTATTCTAAATGTATCAAAAATTTAAAAAAATTAGAATATTTCTTTACTGTATTGGATGCGTATCCATATCTAATACGTATTCGATACGCGTACGAAGGCCATTTCGAAATATCTATACTTTATAGCTCAGAATCCTAAAGTAATAATCTTTCGAATTGAATAGAGAGAAATGCAAGGTGGTTGTAGGATGGATTGGAGAAAGAAGAAAAAAGAAGGTTAATTTTATCTTCTGATATTTATATGTTAAATTTGATATATAAAATATAAAATATTTAAGATTAAAAAAGAGATTTCATTATCTCTCTATAACACCATTTATATTACCATTAATGGAGGGGAGATTGGTATAATTATTTCAAACTTCTTGTGCATATACGGATAAGTGGATGACCACCATAATCACCATTTTCTCTATCACTATGACCACTTTCTCTAAACCCTCACCTCTTGGTTTCCTCCTTTATGTATTTGTAAATATCATATTTAATTATTCTTTTTATTGGTAACCTAAATAGAAGTCTTTTCAAGTTGAAAGGAAATACACATATATGAACAAAATAAGAGTTGGAAGATCCTAAAGATTGATCTTTGATAGTTCCTTAGTAGCAGGAAACGCAATTTTGCGTTCCCAAATCAGAATCGTATAAGAAACGCGATTCTTTAGAGAGAAAATTGCGATTCTTTTGGGAGAGAAACGCAATTCTGTCCAAGATGGAATCAATGATGAAAATCAAACAACTCCTGAAGCAACAAAAAAAAAAATTCCGAAGCAAATTTGGGCATAGATCTAAAGATATGGATATGATAGAAGAAGGGGAAAAAAAAAACATGATTTTTTTCAAAATCAGATATGAGCTAGAAGAAGAAGAAGAAGAAGAAGAAGAAAATGAAGATAAACGATGGCATACCTTTTGAAAAAAAATGAAGCGAAACAGACCGAGAAAGAAGTCGAAGGAACGAATCAGCCCAATCTTCAAAGACAGAGAAGACGACACAGCTGCCCCACTTTTTTCTTCTTCTTTTTTAACGTAAATTACAAACACAACCCTTAACGTTTACTTAAATTACAAATTATCTCTAGTAGTTTTGGAAATTACATTATGCCATTTAAAATTTCTAATTTCATAATAAATAAGTCTTTTTATTAATAAGTCATCAAGTTAATTAACAGTTTTTAATAATGTTAAGACTTTATTTTAATTAATAATTCAGATAATTTTATTATTGTATACGTGAACAGTTAGAAATTTTACTTTTTCAATTAATTATGTTAAATGAAAAATTCTGACAGGAAGATTTTTGTATATTTGTAATTTTTCAAACCACATAGACCAATTTGTATTTTAAACAAATCTCAAGAAGTGTATTTATAAGTTACTCTTTTTTTATTATATATTTTATTTTGACCTAGCATATGGTTATAGGCTTCCGTTAAAATGTTCAATGGGTTTCATTGGGCCTATAGTTGGTCTTAACGTACAGATTCAAAAAATATTGGATACTAATTATAATACAATCAAAGCCCATTAAAAAACAGGCATATTGTATAAAAAAAATATAAAAATAAATAAATATGCATATATATCTTTATCTTCTCTTCTCTTCTCTCTGATTTATAACATATTCTCTCTTTCTCTCTCTCAAAATATATTTAATTAATATATATGTCATATATTGATAAAAATAACCATTTATAAATCATATTTATTTATAATGTATATATGTCAATTAAAAATAAAAATATATATATAAATAAATTAAAAATATTATCAATAAAAATAATATATAAGATAAAAATTAATAAATATTTATATAATAAAGCAGGATGGTTTTTGAATTTGTCCTGCACACATTTGTCCTACTAGGACATTTGGACGGCTCAGATCTATTCAAATTATAAAACAACGGCTGAGATATATTTTTCAAATAATATCCTATATGTACATTTTTTATTTTCCCGCTTCTCTCTCTTACATTTTCCTTTTCTCACCCATCCTTCCATAATTCCATTATCCCACCTTCCTCTCTATTTATTTTTATTTTTATTTTCTTCCATTTTTATTTTTCTCTCTATTTGTTTATTTTTTTTATTTTCTCCTTTTTATTCACTTATTTTTATTCATATTATATGGAAAAGTCTGCGATCCCAGAATTAGGAGCCAGATTTTACTGTGTGTAGTGGAGATTAAATTAATGAATTTTATAATCCACAAATTAAATGAATTTGAACAATTAATTATTATTTTTAACTATATTGAATACCTGATAGACTTCATAAATTTAGACCTTATATGAAACTTCAACATCTATATAATAAAGCAAGATGGTTTTTGAATTTGTCCTACACACATTTGCCCTACTAGGACATTTGGACAACTCAGATCTATTCAAATTATAAAACAACGGCTGAGATATATTTTCTAAAAAATATCTTGCATGTACATTGTCTATTTTCCCGCGCCTCTCTCTTACTTTTTCCTTTTCTCACCCATCCTTCCATGATCCCATGATCCCACATTCCTCTCTCTTTTCTTTTTATTTTCTCCCATTTTTTTTTTCTCTATTTGTTTATTTTTTTATTTTCTCCTTTTTGTTCAATATATTTTATACATATTTTCATACAATGTATGATATCCCGTAATACACTAAGACATTATGGGCATATATACAATTTTCATATAATTATATAAGCAAAAGTAATATTGTATGTATACCCGTGAAAATTGTATGTATACCAGACACATCTATCTATTTAGCTATTATATAAGCAAAAGTGAGTTTTCGTGAGGAGTTTTGTGAAAACTTCAAAATTTTATAATAAATTTGTGATTTTATCAAATTAAAAAATAAATTTAAATAGTGTTGGGATTACAATTATATTCTAATACTAACATTATTTACATCGTGCCTTCAGGTACGGACATACGCTAGTATTTAAATAAAACATGATTGTTGTTTTATTAAATAAAATATAATAAATTTTATTCAAAGATAATGACTAGTGTTCTAAAAAATACCACTCTACTACTTTTATTTGTTATTCATTTTTAAAAAATATTTTTTATGTTGTATTTAATTAATTAAATATTAAATAAAAATAAAAAATTTATAGCATATATATGTTAATTAAAAAAATTAAAAAAAATGTTTATATAAATAAATTCAAAATGTTTCAATAAAAATAATATATAAGCGCTCCCAAACTACGACTTATTTACATAGCCACACTTTTCCGCTTTCGCTCTTGCTTCATGCAACTAAGAGTCATACTAAGCATTATACAACCATCGGGGAAAAAAACCCATAATTTAATTTATGAAGGACTGAACTTAAATGGTCTTTTATATGAACAATCAAAAAATTAACAATTTGTATAAGAAACACAAGGCCTACCCAAATCTTCCATACACAAAAATATCATACTCAAATAAAGCAAAAGGAGAATGGGAAATCATTAAATAGAAAGGGAGATAAATTAAAGGAAAAAACATTATTAACAGAAACAGTGGTCGATACCTAGACAAGAAGGTTCTTTTCAGAAACCTTAATAGCGAAATCACCTACTTATTAAACATAATGAGATTTAATGAAAGGATTCATGGCTGGCTTAAATACCTAATTATGAATCATAGGTGGTTGAATTTTGAACAAGGAAAGAGAGCGGTTTTGGGGGAGAAAGAAAGATAGAGACCTGAATGAGTTGCAAAAGCTTATGGAAGTTTGAGACTAACTCCACCACACTATACTACTCCTAGAGATTTTGAACCAAACCCAAGAAAAGCATTTTTGGTTCTCTTTCTCTCTCTCTTTGAAGGGTGTATATTTGGCCCGGCCCGGCCTATGTAGAGCCTTGCGGGCTCCCGCTTAAATTCGAGCTGGCCCATAGGCCAAAAAATTAGGCCCAGGCCTAGGGGTATTTCGGCCTTAGACGAGTCGGTGGAACGGGCCGATGGGCATGGGAGTGGGCTCGAGCTTGGACGGGCCTTATTATTTATTTATTTATTTTAATTTTTCTATCAAAATTTTATTATTTTTCACAAAAAGAGACACTGGGCCGTGGGCGGGCCTTAAGCGGGCTGATGGCTCGAGCCACGGGCCAGGCCAATCTTTAAAATGAAGGCCCAGGCCTAAGGTCTCGAGCTGGGCTCAGGCCCGGGCCCACCCCGAGCCGCGGACAGGTTTCGGGTCGCCCATAGGTCAGGCCAGGCTTTAATTAAAAAGAAATTTCCTTCATTAAAACGACATCGTTTTGGTAAAGGCAAATAGTCAAACCTCAGCCATCCACGCCGAAAGTGGGACGGGCGACATTTCCTTCTCACTTGACTCCACGATCACTCCACACTAATCATTGTAGAGGATCCTCACTCTATTCACTATTATATTATCACATACAGGTAGTAGTACTACATATCCCCAACAAGACAGCACCACTATACTATTTATCTCCCTCCTCTTCTTCTCTTCCTTTTCCTTGTACACAAAACATAATCACTTGGATTGGATTGGAAGTATGTCGTGCCGCCTACAATAACTGTGGTAAATTATCTGAGTTTTGCTTCATTTTTTTAGTTTAATTTTTTCTTACATAGCCTCTCCTCTGCTGATTTGGGGGTTGTTTCTTAATTTGTCGGTGTTGGATTTGTAGTGATTTGGGTGTCTCCTACATAACACATAGGTTGTGTGCATGTGTGTGTGTGTGTGTGTGTGTTTGGACATATATTACTTTTAATTATCTATCTTGTTTCCTATTATCACTCCTTTTTAGATTCACGGAAAAAACTGTTTGATTTTCAGGAGATGTACCTCATTCATTTTCATTTTTTTCTTTATTATGTTTGTGACTTTTCCAACAATTACATTAAACACCTTTATTTGCA